ACATTGTGTTTATGATGATGTCAGACTCGCTGATTACACAGAGCAGGTCTGGGCAACGCTGCAACAAGTAGCTGCTACATTTTAAAACAGCAGAAATCAGTAGCCTCCATAGCATGCCAAAAACTGGGGGTTTTTGGGGGTCTTTGGGAGCTTTTATGTTCTATTTTCTGATCGCATATAGACAACATAGCCAGCCTGCATGAATTACCTAGAATTACACCAGTTTTTTTTAGAACTCACTCACTCACTCAGTCCTCTTGCACGATGTGCGTCGAGCCTACTAGGCGGGCCACCTCCCTCCATCTCAGCCTGTCCTGGGCGAGCCCCTGCGCTTCTTGGGGGGTGATGTTGGCCAGAGCCAGATCCTTGGCCAGGACGTCTGTCCAGCGGGTGCGGGGGGGCCCCCCGAGGTCTCTTCCACCCAGCGGACTGGGGGCTGAAGTTCAGGATAGCCCGTGTAGGGTGGTCGGGTGGGAGTCGTAGGACATGTCCGGGACACCAGCGGACTCGGCGCATCGCTGCCACACGGGAAGCAGGAGGCTGCTGGGTCCTTTGCCTGAGCTCGGTGCCATACACTTAAGTACAAGAGCTTTTTTAGAACTAATCAGGGCTAATCAGAAAACAGCCGAAGACCACCAAACCCCCAGATCTATAAGCCTTATAAGCCTGCTACGGAGGCTAAGAAATCGGCAAAAATCAGGGAGGCACCTACAACCTTTTGTTTGGCACTCTCGCCTTTAACAATAAACATTAGCTGAGAAAAGAAGCATGAAGATGACATGGATACTTTGGTACATACGTACATGTGCGAAACCATGCTTGGTCAATGTTGCATCAAAATTTTGTCCATTGTATATCTTTCTCGAGACAACAAATTTTGAAAATTGCAGATGGGTTGTCATCCTTAAAATATGCAAACACAACCATAGTTTGTAATGCAAGAATACATTGTTATGTGGTGGTGTTTTTGTATTTTTACTGGAAAAGGGTGATTTTTAAAAAGACTTAGGCTTCAATCTGAAAATTGATATGAGGGCGCTGGTTTGTTACATGAGGGTGCAGCGCCCCTATTCCCCTGTTTAGAAAAACCCCTGAAGTAGGACAGGAAAGCCTGTGGGGCCAGCCTGTGGTGACGGACCCCCCCTCCAGGGACCCCCCCTCCCCTGGGCACTCCCCTGCACCTGTTTGCACCAGCTGTACACATCCCCTCCATCACTGATTATCATCATCAGGATCTGCTAAACCTTTCCGGACCAAGTGTGGTCTGAAATACTCAGCACATGGCCTTCTCGGGATTCTCCAGTGTTTCAGTTCCTTCATTATGCTTGGACTCGATAGATTTACACTTAAGTACAAGATCATCAAATGCCAAAAGAAATGTGGGAAATATCAGAATGTTAAGCAGGAAGGTACTGAAGGAAACAGGAGTTAGAATGAATTTAAACTGTAAGTTAAGATACATCTGAACATGTCTGTCAACAGCAAATGATAATATAGACTAGATCTATAGGCATGACAATTTTTCCCACTTTTACTTAGTCCCAAAAGCCTGAATTCACTGCATTCAAATTTACATGGATGTTGGAATAAATTTACGAAGAATACGGTCAACTAAGGACACCTTAGCTGTTGATTCCCACCAAAAAAGGCATATAATCACGTATGCTTATGTAGCCACCTTTGACTTTCAACTGCCTGTCTGAACCTTCTGTCTGATACAGAGTACGGTTTTCTGTGGCCTTTATGTGCCTACCACATATTAAACCACCCACTCACCAGCTTTGTACCTAGGTTGCAAAATGTTCTAAGCAGATCTTTTGGTGGCTGCAAGACAGTATCAAAAAAAAAAAAAAATGAAATAGTTAAAAAACCTCCTGTCTCTCTTGTCTAGTTTTCACTCCTTTTTGATTTTGTTATACCCCAATTAAAAACGGGCAAGAATTTGTATCAAGTTGGCAAGACAGTATCAAATTGGCAAGACAGTATCAAATTGGCCATAGCACACTGGACACAAAGTATCTCAGTGAGCTCACTGAGATACTTTGTGTCCAGTGTGCAATGGGTCTGGAACCCAGGCTAAGTATCAAATTGACAGGGCAGTATCCATTTGGCACCCACTTGGCTGACGTAAGAAAAGAAACACCTAAAGTAAAAGAAAAAAAGAAAAAAGGCACCTAGATCTAATAGTAAAACATGTTTAAGATAAGCTGAGGCCTAAAACTCTGCTTGGAGGGAAGCAAAATGATTCATTTTAGACCTCCACTGCAGTGAGTCACATATTGTATTGTAATTTCAATCCTGCTGTTTTTTTTTAGTTTAACCCGCTGTATCAGTCATTTGCACCTGTTGCTCCTCATTATACATTCATGGCCGCCCTTAGTCACGACAGTATTCCAGGACCCATCATCTGTGTCACTGGTCTGTATCATCAATCACTACTCGGGGCTTGAAATTCATAGTTGGGAGGTGCACTAGACCCAACCCAAAGTAGTAAAAAATCAGGTGCACAAAATTTTTGAGCCCCGGCTCACCGGTCACTACCAGTCATTAAGGAAGGTTGTGAATCAGGAGGCCTTCTTGGATGGTGGGGAAAATCTAGAGATTAGAACGATCATCAGTGACACATGTCGGTTGTACATGCATGGTTGAGGCTTGACTACAAGTTTTTCCAGGTCAGTTTGGACCAGTCAGATCATACAATCATGTTTTGACAGGGAAGCATTGATGTTTTGCAAACTGACAGGTGTGTTAAGCTATTGCAGAGAATATAACTGGCCATGTGTTTTTACTGCTTCAAATGACATATTGCGGTAGCCCTAGCAATAAAAATATATAGTCCCTTTTATGAAAATTTCAAGGCAAAGCACCAGATCCTGTCATACCCCTCGCTAGTGATGCATACCTAAACTCAATTTTAGGTTCAGGTCCGGATTCAAGTCCAGAGGTTTAGGTTCAGTTCCGGACTTGTAAGTCCAGACCTAAACCCATGGAACATACAAAATTGCATGTTGGCAATCTTACAATGTTGTCTGGGTGAAACTTTGGCCACATAATTAACATGGAGGCAGGTACTTGATGATGCCCGATGGCAATGTTTTCTTCATTTTGCAGCAAAGATTTTGCAATCTACGGAAGGTTTTTGGTGGTTTGGAAAGAAAAGGGGTATGTGAAATGGTCTTTTATGGTAACAAGCCCGGACTCGGTTCTTGACTTTTAGTTTTTTTTTGGACTTGAACCTAAACATTTTTACAAGTCCGGATCCAAGTCCAGTGAACCGGTATGCAGCACTACCCCTCGCAGCCAGATTTTCCTCTCCTGTCTATGTTTTCCCATCAAGATAGATCTGCTTTCGATTCTGCTCCATCATCCTGACAGTTCCAAGGATTTGTCTCCCTTTTACCAGCTCTGCCGAGCAGCCTGATATGTACACACGGTCCTCGTGACCAGTGGAGTAAACGATATTACAGAGGCTCCGGTGTGTTTGGCGTAGACTCTGAGAAAAAGGTCATCATTTTCACGACTGGACTGACAATGGTGCTAACATTTGTAGAACGGCCATCAGAACCGCCGCAGGCTGGGGAGACTGACATTCAACAGCACTCACAGCTTCTACTTACGGTGAACTCGACCTTTTCAGAGTTTGAAATTAATAATCCAGCCCTGTTAAGGGTGTATCGGTTGCCTTGGTTCTGGAGCCTTAACGCGCTTTGCCCTTTTGTGTTAATGGTGCCGATACTGTTCTCAGCTCAAGTTTGCCTTGCCGATGTGTCAGTGCTGCTTTCATTCTGTTTTCATTAAACAGTCCCTAGGCCATATTCAAGAGCAACAGTAGATGTATGTATGTAAAGAGTGCTTTTTCTCACGATCTGCTCAGGAAAAAGGCAGTCATTTCATGAATAAATCAAATCATGAAGAAAAAAAACTTTTATCCATTGCATGTATCAACCAGCCAGGTGCCAGTGCTTGGTTTCTCCATAGTCCCAGGAAAGAGACAATATATATCTATCAGCATAACGCCTTCATTTCTGATTGATAGGATGGATGTGGCCATATGAGGGGGCGTGTAGAGCGTAATCAGTCATTTTAATTCTACGTAGATTGTAGACGGACCGCTCTAATTCAACGTAGAGTGTAATTGGCGCATTTTGCGTAGAGCGTAATTCGCTGTTTTGATTCTACGATATGGATTGTAGCTACCCGCAATTTATCGTGAAATGTAATTATGTAATAATGTTAGTGTTGAGTGTTGTCGGGACCCCTCCATGCAGACCCTCATATCATAACGTGAGAGAATGCTTAGCCTAGCATGATACATGACAACAAGTGGAAGATAACTTTCTGGTCTTGCACGTAATTCACACAACTGTTGTGACGCTCCCCTTACACAGCTGCCACTAGGCACTGTGGTGACTTAATGGTACAAACTGAAACACATCCTTCTGGTATTTCAGTCACAAGTTCAGATAACTCTACCATAGAGAAGATATGATCTTGTTATTTTTGGATGAAAACAGATTTAGCAAAATTAGATCAAGTCACAAGTTGTTCCTCAAGATCACTCAACCACAGAGAAGATCATGTTGGGAAGTTATTTTGAGATGAGAACAAATTTAGCAATATCAGGTCAAGTTACCCTTCAAGATTTGGTGCTGACGTCTGTCTCAGTGTGTGATCCAAATAACTGATCTGTATCTGTATAGCCGGTATAACCGCCTTTCGGCGTAAAACACCAGCTTCGCAGGCACGTGGCGCGGCGGCAGCTAGCTATATCACACTGAACGACTTGCTACACTCATTCTTTGCACATTTGATTGCAAGAGTTGTTTAAAGCTTTCTAGTGATGATGCCCCAACTGTGCTTGGTGGCAACGAGTTCCAGTCTACGATAGTTCTGGGGAAATACGAGTATACTTTAAAAATTTCTTTTTTATATACTGAATTAATTTTTAGTTTTTGCTGACATTCTGTGTAATATATTCTATATGGTTCTCTCCTTCACAGATGCAGAAGCCGACCATGTTCACGGTAGCGAACGTTCCGGGCGCCAGCGGTGATGGTCCGGGCGGGGCTGCGGTGAACACGGCGACCAGCATACAGATGGGCAGCGCGGGGTTCCCCATCACCAGCTACATGGCACCTGTCTCCACCACGGCAGGCGGCGGCAAGACCACCCCTACCATGCAGATACCAGGCAGCTTCACAGCTGTGCTTCCACCAGGTACGGTCAGATCTGTCAGATCAATGAAGAATTCAGTGAAAAAAATGTCAAGAATTAAATTAAAGGCAGACTTTCTTAGTTTAAAAAGAATGTTCAGAATGAAGAAGAATGCTCAGGATTAAAGAAAAATTTTCAAAATTAAAAAAGATTTTTCAGGATTTTGAAGAAAAGGTTTTGAAATTAGGCCACACCAATTTATTTTCTTGGTTAACGGATTTTTCTAGAAAAATAATGGAGCGGGCGGGCGAAATAAAAATAAAAATAAAAATTTGAGACTACCTGCCATACAGCCATTTAGTAAGCAATCCAGAGTGCTTATTAAGTTACAAAATGCTAGTATAGGGCACATTGGACACTTATTGAACTGGAAGGACCATTTTGGTGTTCTCAATACACAAGCATTACTTCATAGATATAAAGCGTGTTTGTGGTGCTTTGGAGTTGATAATCTTTTTCGTACACGAGCAAATTTGCAAGAAAAACAAGTTGAAACAAGTTTTACTTCCACCCTCATCAAATTATATGTACTCTAAAACATGACACTAAAAGTCACACAATGTAAACTCTCACAAGCAAATTCATAGTCACAACAACTGTAAAGGGGACAAAATTTATTCAATTTACATGTAATACCTAGATCCTGCCTTGATCCAAAGTTAAACAGCTTTCTCAAACAAAAACTCCCGCCATGTGGCCGCCATGCATAACAAAGAAAATGACTGAGCCAACATGGCATCCAGAAGATCGCGCCTGATTGGTCAGGAGGTAAAACAATCCACGATTGGCTCCTTTACATCATGTGACTGAGTGCAGGAGCGCCTCTAGCGATATTGGTATCAACTGCAGCAAATTTCATTGGGGTCAATCCCTGTTCGGTGTAACCGGCCTGTGGGGTCTAAACTATGACGTTTTTTATTTTTATTTTCATTCGGCAAAAAAAGGAAGCGGCGAATCCGTTAACCAAGGAAATAAATTGGTGTGGCCTTAGAGGAAAAATGTTAAGAAGTAAAAGAATAATTTTAAGGAAAAAAAAAAGTAAAGTCTCAAACTGTCAGACATACTTACCTTCACAGCTATGATACCAGTATGGATGGTGAGTAAAAAATGTTTCCAAGAGCCATCATATCCCATATCCTTTTAATAATGAATAAAATTCAGTGTTTTTTTGGCAAACCTGTCCTCTTTTGAACTCCTAAAATGTATATTTGAGATCCTCCCAACTACAAGATATGCCATACCGATGGACTATCTTGACTCTAATGTGTGTTAATGTCAAGTGCTATTTAAAGACAAAGGCTATTGATATGCGAGCTATGTATAGCCTGATCGAGCTCACAGGTTCCTGATAGACAAGCTAAGTATAGCCTGACAAACATGTTATGTCTGTGTCTCGAGGTTGAAGTCTAAATGCTGTTGAACTTGAGCTATTAATAGATTGAACTTGAGGATGAACCGTCTTCTGATAACCCGGAGTGCTTACAGTGATTAAATTCATATTGGTATTCAGTGTCAAGTTTTTAAAAATCATTTCTGACTACAGTGTACTGTATTCACATTAGTAATTTGGCCCCAAGCGTAATTGTTTCACATGAATATCAACAGAAAATTTTTTTGCCACAAAAATGTTTTTAAGTATGCACATTTGTTAAATGCCTTGTGAAATAAAACAGGCCTTTCGGGTGATTATTTAACCCTATGTCTAGTGTAATTTTCTTACTGTAACTTTCAATGTTGGGTTGTTTCAACACTTTGAGCTCTTGTACTGAACATATTACTATGACGTATGGCCGAATGTCTATGCTGGCTGACATAAGATTGAGAGGTCATAGGTTCAATCATTGGCATTCCTGGCTAGACACTATGTCCTTGGGAAAGGTAGTTTACGTGACTTCCCGCACTCCACCCAGGTGTAAAATGGGTACCTGACTTCGGTTTGGGAGGTAAAATGCAATGGAAGGAGAGAGGCAATGGCTCCACCTTCCAATACCATGCCCTATAGGCTATACACAGTGGATTAACAACAATCTACTTTGGCCTCAAAAAAATCTATGGGACTACCCTTTCCTACATTTTTTACTAAAGATGTCCTACGTATCTCCCACTGTAGGTACGCCCCTCCTCAGCCAGGTACAACAGGGAACCTCCCAGTCTCAACAGATCCAACAGCAACAGCAACAACAGATGGTCTACAGGGTCAACGGACAGCCTGCCTTCACAAGTAAGGCTGCACACAGTTTATCTGACTTTAAACTTGAAATAGTACTACCACATGTAAGAATCCTTGCACCTTTAACCTCCTTCCTAATATATCCTTTTGGCACAAAATCTGTTGGTGATTACAAAATAGTTTGCTGGGAGTGGGGTAACAAATTCATTTTTCTAATGAGTTTTGACAAACCCTTGATCATATAATTAAGTTTACCTGTTCTCAGACCATCACAAAGAAGCGAGGAAATAGACTGCTAGCTAGAGAATGCACAACTTATTCCTATGTACAGTAAGAAATGTCTTCATACACTGATGCCTGCCTGTTGCGTTGTTGTCAGGTAGTAGTCAGAGTCATCAACAGTCAGTGGTGTACACAATGACTTGGGCAGGAGGAGGGTTACTGAGAACTGATGTGTTGTTGTTGACGTGTTGTTGTTGATGTGTTATTGTTGTTGTTGTTATCATCAGGTGGTAGTCAGAGCCATCAGCAGTCCGTGGTCTACACCATGACTCAGGCAGGAGGAGGGGACAGTCAACAGGACTCCAGCTCCATCATCAACAGCCAGAACACAAGTAAGTCACCAGTGTTCTAGCCAGCATCCGTCGCATTTCCCACTCATGATAAACAAAAAGTTTGTCCAGTCTGTCATCTTTGACATTTTTGCACGCAAAGGTATAGAAGCAGATGTCATTAAACGAAGTTTAATTTACCATGCAGCAAAATTTGTCCCTCAAAATGCAGGAAATAGCATTTCAGAGGATCAGAAAAACACAAAGCCTTCTTGTAAGCTTAAAATACTGCTGGGGGATTCTGGCTAAATATTCAGAATTTAAGAGGTCTAAAGCCCTGTAATTACTGTGTAATATACTTCCTAAATGGTGCAGATGAAATTTGTCTGGTGCAGGCAATTTTTATGTTACTTGCACTAGTTCAGGTATGCAGAAAAAAAGTATCTCGAGGTCTGATTACTCTGTGGACATGTAACAAACCCTTGCCTCCTTGTTGTCCCGCCAGGCACCAGTATGGCTGTATGGCTCCGACCTTTTTTCGATAAATGTGGGGGGATCTTTAATGTGCTTGAGGTGTGGCTGTCCTCAAATATGGGACAAAAGGACATCCCTAACTGAAGCTAGGTCCTCATTTTCACCTGAGTGGAATGAGGAAATAGGTGTTAACTTCTGCACTTGCTCTAACAGTGACCAGTATAGCTCCGTCCATGCACACTATGTTACAACAGTGGAAGATCTTATTTGACATTTTACTGCTGTTGACTTGACTTGACTTTATTGGGATCCACACTTAGCTTACAAAAACTATTTCAGCTATTCTTCCTGTGGTCCTTCAAGACACTCATGACACACATTTCCAAAACATGAATACATTGACAACAATTTCAACATATTAACACAGCTCAAAATCAAATAAGGCTATATACATCAAGGCTATATACATCATCACCACTTCATTTGTCCCGCCAGGCACCAGTATGGCTACGACCAGTGGCAGCAGCACGCTGACGGGCCACGTGATGTACCAGACCCCCCAGGGAGTCGTGTACGCGGCCCCCACCTCCATGACGGAGGCCGGAGTCGTACTGAACTACCCCCAGGGTCCCTCCGCCATCCCAGTCCCACAACAGCAGGTCCAAGACCAAGGTGAGACGAGAACTCTGTCCCTTCAGTTAAGGCCACAGCGCGTAGATTTTATGGATGATATCAGGTGCGCTAGTGTAACGGAAATGAAAAGAAACCTACAGTGGGGGTCGCTGGAAGACAGACGTAGAATGTCCAGACTGTGCATGATGTACAAAATGGCTAATAAACTGGTGGACGTACCAACCAAGTTATCTACCAAGAATTGAGGTATTCAAAAACTTGTATTTCCCCAGAACTATCGTAGACTCGTTGCCACCAAGCACAGTTGGGGCATCATCACTAGAAAGCTTTAAACAACTCCTACAATCAAATGTGCAAAGATTGAGTGTAACAAGTCGTTCGGTGTGATATAGCTAGCTTCCGCCACGCCGCGTGCCTGCGAAGCTGGTGTGTTACGCCGAAGGGTGGTTATATAGGCTATACCGATACAGATAATGATGGATGACATCCTCTGCAGACTCTAAATCTTATGCGAAAAGGCGAAAAAACAAGGTGGCCCCAAAAAACAAGATGATACATGTATTGTGTTAAGTTTATTGCCAACACACATCCATTTGTCACTGAAACAAATTTGAAAAATAAAAAGGAACGCTGATGACATCCATAGAAATTACTTGCTGTGGCCTTAACAGTTTCGATGTAAAGCATGGCTGGAAAGGAAGTGTATGAAGTAAACATCGCATGTTCTCACCTCACCTCACCAAAAGTTATCCTTGGTTCTAAGACTGGACTACAACTTTAGTACAAGGAAGTGCAGTCAAACTTTTATAAGAAGACCACCCTGGGGACCTAAGGAATGTGGCCTTCTTAGACAAGTGGTCTTCTTGTACGTCATTTTTTTGTACTTGCTATACTGTGACTGGTCAAAAGTAATTGTTGGTGGCAACCTAGAAGTTTGTCGCATCAAAATTGTTTTTATGGTTGTCACTTTAGAACCAAGGATTGCATTGTGTGGTCTTCTAAATTATCTGAAAAGGTGCAGTCTGTTTTAATGAGAACTAAGTAATTGCCATATTTTGTAGCCAAACATAAAAAGGACTTGAACATATCAATACTCCTTTGTATGCTAGTAAGGCCACACCAATTTAATTAGTTGGTTCTCGGATTTTTCAGAAAAAATATGAAGCGACAGGGCGAAAAAAAATAAAAATAAAAACAGGTCTAGGCATCCTATTATAGGCTTAAATGCTACAAAATGAGCCATGAAGTCAACACGAAAGGCTGGGTTAAAATTTAAACATTGAATTTTGAAATTTTAATCAAACCACTGCAATGATAGATGGGAAAACTTTAACAACTAGGAAGAAAAGTACTTTCCTCAACTGTTGAGGGCAAAACATGAGCATTTTTCAGTTGATTCAGGACCAGAATCAATTTTTTTTTTTGCAAATTAGAAAAAAAACAAAGAGGCAAATCCGAGAACCAACAAATTAAATTGGTGTGGCCTAAGTACTAGATACTGTATCTACATACCAAGACAAGAGCTGTCTGACTTTTCTGGCTACATATTGCCTGTCGCTGTTTCTGCATGTGTTCTCTGTATTTATTTTTCTCTACCCTTGCTCTGTATACTTTTTTTCTATCCTCCTACATCTTACCTGTAAACGAGTGCTAGTTTTTGCATTGTGGATTTTCTGTAGCGGAGTGAAGTTTCCTTTCTGTACGTCTTGCCTTATGGTTTTTTCTGTGCATGTCTCTCTCCGTTCGTTGTCCTCAGTCTTCTGTGTGCTGTAGTCTTGTCGGTTCGCACGTGTGTTCCTCGACCTTCCCTCACCATTCTCCCTTGTAAAACCCTACATCATTCAAGCCCCTGTCACCAATTAATAGTCCTCAAACCTTTCAGAGAAAATTCATAATCCCTTCTATTATTTATAAGTATCTTCTTGAGAAAATTAATAATCCTTACTTAAACCTTTCGTAGAAAATTCATATTAATCCTTCTATAATTTATAAATTTAAACCTTTTAGAGAAAATTCATTATCCGTATTTAAATCTTTCATAGAAAATTCATAATCCTTCTATAATTTATAATTATATACCTTTTAGAGGAAATTCCTGATCCCTATTTGAATTTATCAGAGAAAACATATATTTCTATATAACGTCACTCCAAGAATGACACTTTTAATTCCTCTTTTTTGGTAGACAAAGTAATTTATTAAATCATTCAAATTTTGATTTTTGATCAACACTGTCCCTCTCATGTCCCTTCCATCCATCTATGGCCTTTCCCTTGCTCCTGTCCACAAGCAACCTCTACTTTTGTTGCTCTCTGCCTCCCCTTTTCTCTATTCTACTTTGTACTGAAAAAAAAATCACACAGAAAGCCTTTACTTCTATACACAAAACTGGTTCAATATGGCTGTCTACTTGCACAGTCTACACTTTCAAATTACTACTTTCATTGTCCACCTTTCTGCCTGCTGCCTTTTCTAGTTTATACACCCAAAATCTCACTTTTAAACGCAAAGCTGGTCCAATCTGTCTACTTCTACACTTTACAGTACACTTTGAAATCACTACCCAAAACCTATACATGGTCTAAAATCGAGATCCCAGCCTCATTCAGAACATACTTGCACAAATGTACAGTTTCAAAATTACCCAAAACCTCAATGGTCTAAAATCAAGTTCTTCAACCACGTTAGCATAGTACTGGCCATGGTACAGTACTTGTACAGTCTACACTTTCAAATTACTACCCAAAACCTGGTGTAAAATGTACATGTAGATCTCTATGGTCTAAAAAAAAAGTAAAATCCAGCTCTCGACCAGCCCTCTCTACTTGTACAAACTACACTTTCAAATTACTACCTGAAACCTGCGTGGTCTAAAATCTAGCTATCGATCGGCCCCTCTCCGGCTCCACTAACTGAAAGTTCATGGTACACAATCTAAACTTTCAAATTACAAATCCAAAACCTACGTGGTCTCTTGATCGGCTCAGACTATCAGGCTGTCTACTTGCACAAACTACACTTCGAAATCACTACCCAAAAATTACTAGACATGGTCTTAACTCCAGCTCTAGACCAGCCCTTTTCCGGCTCCTCTAACCGAACATGTTAGCCTAGTACCAGCCATGGTACAGAACTTGCACTATCTACACATTCAAAATTACCACCCAAAACCTACTAGACATGGTCTAAACTCCAGCTCTAGACCAGCCCTTTTCCGGCTCCTCTGACCGAACACGTTAGCCTAGTACCAGCCATGGTACAGAACTTGCACTATCTACACTTTCAAATTGCTACCCAAAACCTACATGGTTTAAAATGTACATGTAGCTCTCGATACACTATCTAAACTCCAGCTCTTTATCGGCTGTCTACTTGCACAAACTACACTTTCAAATTACTACCCAAAACCTGGTGTAAAATGTACATGTAGATCTCGATACATGGTCTAAAATCCAGCTCTCGACCAGCCCTCTCTACTTGCACAATCTACACTTTCAAGTCACTACCCAAAACCTAAAGGTCTGAAATCTAGCCATCGATCGGCCCCTCTCCGGCTCCACTAACACGAACACGTTAGCCTAGTACCAGCCATGGTACAGAACTTGCACTATCTACACATTCAAAATTACCACCCAAAACCTACTAGACATGGTCTAAAATCTAGCCATCGATCGGCCCCTCTCTGGCTCCACTAACACGAACACGTTAGAGCGTAGCGCCGGCGGTGTCGTCTGTCTCGTACGAAGTGTGTGTGATTGTCACGGCAGGTGGTACAGCTGCGGCGGCGGCTGCAGGCGGCGTGCAGCAGGTGGTGCTGGCTCCGACCACGCCGGTTCAGATCCAGATGCCGACGGTCTCCCTGCAGCCCTTACAGCCCACACAGGTGAGACACCTCGTAAGTGCACAACTTTCCTAACCTCTCTTCTGTGTCGTGCTGTGCCAGGGCTCAAGCCAGCTCAAGTTTTTCCGTCAATTTGTTTATTTGTCAACCTCGATGAACAAAATTGACAAAAATGCTGGGTAAAAATACAAAAAACATGAAATGGACCTCGAAAAACCACTCTGAACCCCATGATTTGCCTCTCAAAATAAGGGAAAATTGCATTTTTGAAGGTTTGGAAATCCAAAATTTGTCCCCGGAACCCTCTACTCCCACCCTAGATTGGGTCAGATCATGAACATGGGCTGACGGAAAAAAATTTTGAGCTGGCTAGAGCCATACTGTACATGTGTGTGTGTTGTAGACTAACACCAGTAATGGACCTATACCATTATTACGTCACAGTTTGTTTACCGCAATGAATGCCGGTCAATCGACGTTTATTTTGTATTTGGGTGCGTAGCGCGGTGTGTGTTTGTGTAGCGTTAGTAGAGTTGTGTAGCTAATATAAGGCTTTTAATACAGTACTACTTTCGTCTAATATCACAACTAAATCACCCATTACGGCATGTAATGCTGTGTCAACACAACTAGACGCAGCAAAAATCAGACATACTTTACTTTGAAATGATCTTTATTCTTTAACTGACCGTTCTAGAATGTTCTTTAGAACAGGTAAACAAACTGTGACGTAATAATGGTACAGGTCCATTAGAAGTAGTGCATGTCAAGGTGTGAGAAAATGTGGGATCTGCATAGACACAACGTACTGCACCTATCCATAGTACAGTTCTTAGGGTTCTAGCTAGGATTTAATTTTAGCGTAGTGGTACTGGCCGCATGTCAAGGGAGCGAAGCGACCGAAAGGGGGGATGGGGTGGAGCTTTTAAAAAATTGAGCTAAAAAGGGGGCCATTTGAGGGATACCCAAAGGGAAAAAAATGTTATTTCTAAGGTATGTACAATGTATCCTTGATTGGTAATTTTTCACATTTGATCTGGCATTCTTGAACAAAGAAATACAGTCACAATGCCCCTATGCTGTATTGAAAATTTAGCATATATTAGGGGGTCAAAATTATAGCGTGGGGGGGGGGAATTTAGCGTAGGGGGTGAAAATTGTAGCGTAGGGAGCCCCTACGCTACTTCGCACTAGCTAGAACCCTGAGTACTTTCCCAGAATGTCTTATTTAAGGATGGCATGCCGTCTATAGATGTTGTGTTGGAGAAGTCTACATGCCATGAAAAATTCAGGTGTCGCACAGGTGCAGTACGTTCTGGTTTTCCATGTCCTGGCCTCCTTGGACAGATTTGGGTGCAATTTTCGAAGTAAAGTACTTAGGCCACACCAGTTTAATTTCTTGGTTAACGGATTTTTCTAGAAAAATAATGGAGCGGGCGGGCGAAAAAATAAAAAAAATAAAAACAGGCCTAGGCATCCTATTATGGCCCAAAATGGTACAATAGGAGCCATGAAGTCAACACACCAGGCTGGTTCAAAATTTAAACAATGAATTTTGAACTTTTAATGATGCCATTGCATTGAAAGATAGAATAACCGTAACAACTAGGAAGAAAAGGACTGTTTTCAATTGTTCAGGGCAAAATATGAGCATTTTGCAGTTGATTCTGAATTTTTATTTTTATTTACAAATCAGGAAAAAAATGAAGCGGGCGAATCCGTTAACCAAGAAATTAAATTGGTGTGGCCTAATGGGATGTATGGGATTCTTTCCTCTAGTTGTACTTCCATTATTATGTTGTCTCATCATGTCCTTTGTGCATCATACATGTATCCTTTAATAGAACTTTATGTTGTAGCTTTGTTTGATCATTGTGCACGTTTTTTTCACCATTTTGTTCTACTTTGGACATTTTCCTCAGTTCCATATCTCATAAGTTTTAGACATGTTCTTTGAGCTCTTCCTTTCCTTATAGTTTCTGTCCACTTTAAAAATATGTTTGTTCCTTTTTTTTTTCCTTCTTGCTGTCTTAATTTTCTCCAGGCATCTGAAATCAGAACCTCCTCATGAGCATCCTGACCCCTGACCCCACCTGTCAATCAATCATCCTAGTCCCGTCTGATTGGCTGGTCCAATCATGTCGTCCTCTGATTGGTCAAGTAGTTTGTCATGTCCTTCCCGCTGCTCCCTCATTGGCTGGTTCATGTCATGTGGTCCGCTGTCCTCTCTCCTGATTGGCTGGCTGCTGACCAATGGGTGTTGGGTTTGCAGATGGTGGTGGCGGCCACGCCTTCCACCGAGCCCTCGAGTAACAGCGTGACGCCGGTCCTCTGTACGCAGACGGCCGAGACGCAGACGAGCAAAGAAGCCGCCACACGGACGTCGGCCGCGTCTTAGACACAACGCGAACGTAGCCTGGTATCCAGTCTGATCGTGGTCGGGGCGGAAAGAGCTCTGTCCCGCCCACCTCACGTAGGTTTCCTGGTGTGTATTTCACAAGAGATTGATTAGCCTTCCACGAACCGGCTATCATGTTGGGGGAAACCAGATCCAAAAGCATACTGTCTCTTATTAGCGTAACTCTCCTACCGGGACGGTCTGTTGCACTGGGCGGGGGAAGCTATTAGAGCCTCCGAAGGCACAACCTACCCGAACACCCCAATACCCCCAATCACGTAAGACTGGATACCAGGCTACACGAACGTTGCTGGGACCAAGTGTGTTTTTGTTGTTGTTGCATGCTTCCGGGGACAAGTTTTCTTTGCATCAGGTTGGCAAGAAAGATAGTGTATAAGAAACGCCAAAAAGCAGTTACTCAAGCAACTGGATATGATTTTGGAAACGGTCAGACGTTTCAGCTAGTATCCACTAGCTTTCGTCAGTGACTGTGAGACCAGATGAGAAATGCAGTGTGTAAGAAGGCTCTTTATTCAACAACCCGTGGTCTTTTACAAGACGGACATTTGTAGATGCCCTGAATTTCGAAGGTGACAGTCACCGAATACGTTAATTGGTTGTTGCATTCTTCCGGGAATACGTTTTCTTTTCACCAGATTGGCAAGAGACTGTATGAGAAGGTTCCTTGTTCAACAACCAGTTGTTTTTTTTCATCCGACATTCCTAATCTTCTTCCGACAGTGCCCATCTGACGAGAAATCAGCAACGCGATAACTGGCATGTTGGGGAAAAGTTGTGTAAAGTGCCTTTCCCAAGGGCACAACGTTGGGGCATGTGGGTGGAATCGAACCCAGGACCGATGGGTTCTAGGCCGAATGTCCTACCATTATGCCACATTTTCTTTCCCTGAATTTGAGGAAGGTGACAGTCACCGAAAACGGTTGTTGAATAAAGAACTTTGTTGTATGCTGTTCACGAAGCAGTGAATATGGCATCTGTATGTTTGCTCCCTCAGTTATCTGTTCAAGCACAACCAGTGCCTCACTAATCTAATCTTACTAGTAAAACTGTAAAAAAAGCAACCCTCGAGAAACACATTTAATAACTACCAAGTCTGAATTAAAAAAAAAAAGGTGCTGATTTGCAAAAATGCGAAGATTTCAAAGTCAAAGTTACTTTTCCATTTGCTGCCGTCCCAGGACTCTCTTGACAGTATAGTTGGTTGCTTTTTTGGTGACAATTTCCCAAGTGACAAAACAGTAGTTAAGGTGAACAGAAAATGAGAAATTCTGTGTGAATGAGAGACAAAGAATAAGCAATGGTCCATTACATACCGTAGACACATCACTACTACTAGTGGTAAAGGGTCATATTCTGAAAGTAGAACTGTATAAGACATAAGTATTTGCTGCACAAGACACTTGTAAATATGTATAATAGAAAGTATTTCCATTTCTAATATAAGTAATGATAGATAATTGAGTAATGTGCAGAGAAAGGAGTCAACATGTAATGTTGAATGTGTAAAAAAAAGTACACAGTATCTTAATATAATTATTACTGGTGACCGTGTTGTGTAGACGAAACTAGTAGGAAATTTCAGTAGATGTACATATGTGAGTTCAAATGTTGTTGACTGCTATGAAATGCCATATTGACACAGCTTGTTGGCATCACTATTGTGTATAATTTATAGAAAAGGCATTTTTCTGGCATTTTACTTTAGGCCACACCAATTTAATTTGTTGGTTCTCGGATTTTTTCAGAAAAAAAATGAAGCGACAGGGCGAAAAAAATAAAAATAAAAACAGGTCCAGGCATCCTATTATAGCCCCAAATGCTACAATATGAGCCATGAAGTCAACAAAAAAGGCTGGGTTAAAATTTAAAGTATAAATTTTGAACTTTTAATCAAACCACTGCATTGATAGATGGAAAAAACTGTAACAACTAGGAAGAAAAATAAATTTCCTCAACTGTTGGGGGCAAAATATGAGCATTTTTGAGTTGATTCAGAACCAGAATCTTTTTTTTTTTTTGCAAATCAGAAAAAAACGAAGAGGCGAATCCGAGAACCAACAAATCAAATTGATGTGGCCTCAGCTCTTTTTAGATAATATGGAATTACAACATGAGAATGGTGGATCAGAAAAATTAGATCAGCTTTACAAATCTATCACAAATCACATCACACCAGCATATTTAAGTGTTTTTTTTTTAAAAAGGGGCAAGTCATGGAATTTGTGTAGCCCAAGAACTTGTAAAAAGAAATGTGTTTACACTTTAAAAAGGGCTGGTAAGTGACCGAAGGGAATTATCAGTGTCCCTTATTAGTCGGTTTATTTTCTATTTCAGTGCTCCGTAGTTAAGAGTTGACATATACTAGTATCCAGTAGGGATTGGCATTCATTTATGCCAAAAGTACACAGTGTTGATAATTAATGTAAAAAAAAAAGGTACATGGAGATCACAGTACTTCGCCAACTTGTTTTACTGTACAGTGCTTTGTATTTAAGTCTTGTCAAATAAATACTATATGTGACTTTCAGAGCGTGTTCTCTTTTGCTACGTTTTTTGTTTTGTGTAACTGGTAAACCACCTTTTAATAGGTGTAACCCAGCAGTTTTGTTGTAACAGTGCTAACTGACCATGCTAAATCGTTGTGCGACCTTTTAGTGTAGTGGTTAGCGTTGGTGACTGCCAAGCGGACAACTCGGGTTCGATTCCCGGTTGTGACCTGCTCGCCCCTTTCGGTTTTTACAGTGGTTCCCATGCCGGCCCTGTGAGCACTGGCACTGAGGATAAGTGTGGCAGCTCCAGGAATGTCGGACTCGGAAGATTCGAGGACGAATCTTGAAAGAAAAGGGGGAGTAGTGTAACAGTGCTAACTGACCATGCTAAATCGTCGTGCGACCTTTTAGTGTAGTGGTTAGCGTTGGTGACTGCCAAGCGGACAAATCGGGTTCGATTCCCGGTTGTGACCAGCTCGCCCCTTTCGGTTTTTACATTGTAGTATACATGTATCATATGGTAGAGGGGATTCATTCCTCAAGCTAACCGACATCTCACACAGAGGTAAAACCGGTTGTGTGACAAGTTAGCTTGAGGAATGAATTCCCTCTACACTACAGTATACAGCAGTTTTGTACAGTAAGCACAAGCTGTGTCAGACTGGACGGTAAGGTTTGAACCACTCACACCTGGAAGGACCCCTAAAACTCTTTTCGCTAAGTGCAGTGGGATCTTTTAAATTGCTCGAGGTGTGGCTCTCCTCAAACACAGGACCTCTATCTTAACTATAGAACCAAACCTTTCTTTACACCAGGTCATGTATCTCACTAAGGCCACACCAATTCAATTTCTTGGTTAACGGATTTTTTCTAGAAAAATAATGGAGCGGGCGGGCAAAAAAAACAGGCCTAGGCATCCTATTATGGCCCAAAATAGTACGATAGGAGCCATGAAGTCAACACACCAGGCTGGTTCAAAAGTTAAACAATGAATTTTGAACTTTTAATAATAACACTGCATTGAAAGATGGACTAACTCTATCAAAAAGGAAGAAAAGGACTGTTTTCAACTGTTCAGGGCAAAATATGAGCATTTTGCAGTTGATTCTGAATTTTTTTTTTTTTGCAAATCAGAAAAAAATGAAGCGGGCGAATCCGTTAACCAAGAAATTCAATTGGTTTGGCCTAATGGCGTCCTGTACTTTGACCCATTAAATAAAGATACTGTTTATAGTCTTTACCGAATGATCCCCTTGAAAACCTCTTACACAGAGATCCAAGTATTTACTCAAAAGACAACCAGACCCATATGCACCAAATCCTTTAAGTTGGTTGGTGATGAGTTCAGTACGTCCCCACGGAAATAAGTCATGCCTTCAAGTACCAGAGGTATCAACCAAGGATTGAGGCGTTCAAAAACTCATTCTTTCCTAGAACTATCGAGGGTAGAAGTCACTGTCACCAAGTACAGTAGGGTCTTTATCATTAGATAGCTTTAAACAATGTCTCGAGTTTGATGTTTAAAGGTTAGGTGTAATATAGCCAGCTGCTGCCATATTGTGCATGCCTGTGAAGCTGGTGTGTTATGTCGAAGGGTGGTTATACCAGCTATACAGATACAGAAGCTGGTGTGTTATATATATATATATATACCGAAGGGAGGTTATACATTTGTACTGGCTATACAAATACAGAAGCTGGTGTGTTATGCCGAAGGGCAGTTATACCAGCTATACAGCATTACAGATACTCCAGTATGCAGCTGTGTGGTTACTCTTGGGGAATGTGCCGGATTCAAGGGATGGACGTGTTTCTGATTAAACACTGATATTTTCAGCAACCTGGCTTAAGCCACGGGATGAAACGCGTTAACAAGATGTACAGGGGAGGAAAAGTGGAGTCAAACTCAGAAATCATGCAAAGAAAGAAATTCAACAATACGTTGACGGTTAGACATCCAGGTAATGAGATAAGAAAACTGTAATTCAAGCAACTGCACAGTTTAACTTTTTAAAATCTATCCAGTGGTTATCCGTAAAAATCTTGCTCCAAAAAAAAAAAAGACTTGCATTTGATGCAAGCACGTCTAACCCCCGTTTCGGGGGGAAAAATGACGTTAAATCGGAGAGGAGAAGAAGAAGGCTTGAGTAACTTTCCTTGCGAATACTGTATGATATTTCAGGGAACCATTTGCTTGTTTTACAGACTGAGTAACAGTAGATGGATCTAGCCTCTACCAGGCTTTGTCAGATGGCTGGGAAGAGTAGAAATTGGTCAAATAAAGAGTGTCAAAATATTCTCTCTAGCTGACCAACTCCCTCTGCATGTTATCTCCCTACTTGACTGATTTCTACTCTTTCCAGCCGCCTCCCGAAGCCTGGTAGAGGCTAGATAGATCCCTTTCCAAAAACCTGCAATTCTTATCACGAGTACATCATAGCAGCAAAAAGTGTTTCAAATGTACATGTGACATAACTGTAGCATGTCAACTCATAACCACAAGACGTGACAAACAACTAAACAGACATGACTAATATAATAAACTGGTGGATGTACCAACCACTAAGTATCTGATACCAGCCCAGAAAAGAACAAGAAACAGTCATGCCTTCAAATATCAGAGTTATCAACCAAGAATTGAGGTATTAAAAAACTCATATTTCCCCAGAACTATCGTAGACTGGAACTCGTTGCCACCAAGCACAGTTGGGGCATCATCACTAGAAAGCTTTAAACAACTCTTGCAATCAAACGTGCCTGCGAAGCTGGTGTGTTATGCTGATGGGCGGTTATACCGGCTATATCGATACAGATACAGACATGTAAGGAAAAATATTCAAGTGAACAGCCCATATTTATTCTGTTTGTAACAAAGTTAAACACAACAAAATGTGGTCTGTGTGTAAGTAATGTGCTGACAATTGCACCATTCTCATATCTCTAGTAGTATGTTCCATACAAAACAACAAAACAGTATTTGTAACTATGAATAAACCTGAGTAGAACATAAATATTTCTATCAAAGATAGGTATCTTGCACAAAAAGCTTTTGCTTCTCAAATTGAGTAGGCTTCTGACAAGTTCTTAAACCTACATGGTTGCTGGTCTCATAAAGCTACCTTCTACCAAACTATAAAAAAGTTATACATGTACATAAGTGTATATCTACCTACGTGAACCGAAGTGAGAACACTACCAACGAAAAAGATCTGACCTGGAATGTGCATCAAGCAAAGAGTTTTTGGAGAAATACGTTTTTCCATACTTTGGAACATAATCTTCATAGACTCCAAGTAAGTTTAAATAGGATAGCTTCCGTCCTATTCGCTGTAAATAATGTGTGTTCTTACCAACATCACTGCTCAACAAAATAACCAAAGGCAAAGCAGTAATGTAAAAGATTACAGTATAAAAACAAAGTTACGTAATATCTAAACAATTTAACAAACCTGAGTTAGAAGTTAGAACAAGGAGTTACCTTTACACAGGGAACATAATTATACCTCCAAAAATAGCTTCATCAGGTTCGTACAGTATGGGAGATAGGGATTTTCATTCACACAACCAATCTTGTCTCATCTTGCTCACGTTTCGGTGAACTTCCTCAGCGGGGGTACAAACTCGTTTGAGATTGTGTTCTCGCCGCAAAAGCGCCACCTAAATACAGTAGGCTAAATACAGCAGTGAGGAGCAGAACTCCAGTCAGAAGCTCTGAGGAAGGTGTCTGATAGACACTGAAGATGAGACAAGATAGGTAGTGTAAATGAAAACACCTATATGTCCTAGGAAACGTATAACATCTGTGTCCATAATATCACCATAGTCCATAATATCGCCACCTTGAGAAAAAGTGTGCTTAAAGATATTTTTACTGCAACATACCCTAGGTATGTACATTTGAGGTGTGCAGGAGTGCATGCCAAAAGTACGTTGCAGTAAAAATATCTTTTTTGCACACTATTTCTCAAGGTGGCGATATTATGGACCCTGGTGATATTATGGACACGGATGTTATACTGTTATCTGAATTACTGCTATACTGCTGGCATGGTCGCATAGTCTTCATCAAGGCCTTGACTCTAACATGAAGTGGACAGATCAAGTCTTCCCTGTGTACCTCATAAAGTAATATTGACACTTTCACAAACAAAGCAACAGTTTTTAAGTACAGAAAACCTTACCCGCCAAACTACGATTTACCACCGAATTGAGAAAACTTGCATACATGATTTGTTGGTCATTGTTCTTAGGTTCTAGTGAAGATTCTTATCAAGAATAAGTCTTCCTTCTGCTGTGAAAGCAGTACAAAATAGCACCGTTGCAACTGTTACACATAGTACTCTTAATACCCCTCCAGTCGCAAAAGGAGACTGGCAATCCCCGGGATACCTGCCAAAAAAAGATTTCCCTTCAAAATGAGGACCTGCAATGATGATTTTGGTCATTGTCCTTTGGTTTCAGTGCTTACTTAACTACCAAACAGAGGACCTGCCAATGCACAATCATTTTGGTTATCATCATTTTGGTTGCAGTGCCTACTTCTCTGACATGACAAACTCTGGATTAAGTCCACTAGTTGGTCTGGAGCACATACGTGTATACAGTTATGCCGTCGCAGTGTTCTAGCCAGCGTCTGTCTTTCTGTCAAATTGATGCACACGCCACACAAACATTTTGCCCAATCTGTCATCTTTGACGGACAAAAATTGGTGTGTAAAAATAATGGAAGTGAAGTCATTAAACAAAGCTTAGTCTAGTGACAAAATTTGCCTCTCAAAATGCAGGACATAGCATTCCACATGGTCAAGATTTCACTGGAGAATTTTTCATAAACTGACAAACTCTGGATGAAGATCACAAATTGTTCCGGAGCACATACAGACAGCTACATGTATGTCTTTATGTGTTGTATGTTGTAGGTTGCTATGATCCGAAAAGGTTGGTCTCTTACAAACTCTGGAATTAGTTCACAAGTTGCTCTGGAGCCCATGCAGCTACATGTATGTCTCTGTGTGTTTTTCTGTGGTGCATTTTTAATTCCAAAGAGTCAAAAGTCTGGATTTTGTCCAAAAGTTGTTCTGGAGCACATACATCTTTGTCTCGGTGTGTAGTATCTTGTATGTAAAAGGCTGATCTCTGACAAACTCTGGATTTGGATCACAAGTTGTTTTGGAACATATACTAGTACATCTCCATGTATTGTATCTTGTATGCTCCTTTGTATCTTTGACTCACTTGGTCCACAAATTGGTCCCATACATGTACAGCTATAAAATGTATGTCTTATGCTGTACGTTGCTACATCCCAAAGAGGTTGATCTCCTCTGCTCGGTGTTGTCTGTTGGACAGGTGCAGCAGCAGCTCCCGCGGAGTGTTCACCTCCACGTTACACACCTTACATTGCACCAGTTGTGCCTCGTTCGACCTGAGAAAGTAGGAGTTACCGGGTTAATGTTTTTCATTAATTCGCACATAGCATACACATAAGGCCACAAGAAGTAAATTTTATGAATGGCATCTTCCGCAGACTCCAAATCTAATGCGAGCGGGCGAAAAAAAAAAGACGGGCCGAAAAGAACAAGGTTCCTACATTTTAAAATTTTGACTCAATCATTGTACAAATGGTTTTGATTCAGTGGGAACATCACATATACACAGTTAGCATCACATATCACTGCATCAAAGTAAGAAACAAAACATTTAATCAAAGCCTTGTCTTGTCTCCTCTCTTCAGTTATCTGCCATCCACCTTCTGTCATGGCAACAGACATCTTTGCCCATTTTCGGCAAGGTGAGAAAATTTCTTTTTTTCTTTTCAACATCAGGCGAAAATTACTTGCTGTGGCCTAATGAAGAATAAAAGGAAAATAGTGTGCAGAGGTGGGTAGGAAGCCTAGTAGGCTTACTGGTATGTTGAGCCTGTCTCCTTTAGACTTGACAAATAATAACCATGATAGTACAATGATTAGTAACCAGCTGTGCCTCGTTTGACCTGAGAAAGTAGGAGTTACCGGGGTAATGTTTGTCATTAATTTGCACGTAGCATACACATAATGAAGGATAAAAGGAAAACTAGAGAAGTAACATTTGCAAAGGAAATGCCAACACCAGTTACTATGGTGACAGACGTCAACAAAATAGGCCATTGGCCAGGTCAGAGGTTAGTGTTTGGAACAGAAGAAGAAGAAGAAATGGAGCAAAAACAATATGTTTTCCTTCGGTAAACATAAAAATAGTGTGCAGAGGGGGTAGGAAGCCTAGTAGGCATCACTTTTTTCTCAATTGTGCAAGAGTGGACAGTAGCCTCTACCAGGCTTCAGAAGTGGCTGGAAAGATTAGAACTTGGCCAGATAACATGTCAGGGGATCGAGTTGGTCTGCTAAAGGAGTACAGTTTTTATTGGGTGCAGCAAACTGCACTCCTTTAGCGGATCAACCCTGTCGGCATGTTATCTGTCTCTTTGGCCAATTTCTGGTCTGGTAGAGGTTCTGCGAGCGCAGCAAAATACTGTGATGCATTTTTGTTTGCGAGAGTTTTAACTTCGCGATATTCGCGAAGAACTTTTTGTCGCGAAGTCATCTCCTCGCGAACACTTTTGTTCCGTACCGCCCCCTCCCTAGCACACCATGCATATACGAAGACAACAACAAAGTATACTAGTACTAAGACTCGAAGAATAACATGGTTTTTGTAATGAAATAGAAATTAATTTTAACAAACATACGATTCATCTGCAGTAACAAGAAGAAGACATTGGTTACGCACTTGTACGCCTTTTCCCTCAGCTCCATCATGTGTTTCCTCTTCCACGTGTCGTCGTCCTCCTTCTTACGGTCTGTATCCTCCTTCACCTGGAAAGTGATGATTCAGGATAACATTCATATAAATAAACAACAAAAACAAAAATAACAACAACAGTAACATTTGCAAAGCAAACGCATAATGTTTACCTTCGGCTGCAGAAGCGGGCATGTCGTATCATTCTTGGGAGGGCTTACACAGACTATAACACAGCACTTACTGTCTGCGGACTAAAGAGACTTGCTACCAGACGAGACCACTTGTGCGCCAAATTTGCAAGCAGCATGGCAACATCTGAAAGAACTGTTGAGTTAGTACCCGTTTCCAGGGGACAAACGCATGGACGGTCCCTTAGGAATTCTAATGAACTAACCCTACCGACCTGCCGAACTCTAAGGTTTAAGAACAGTCCTGTACCGTCGATGTTGCGGATCTTGAACGCTAACTGATATTAGAAGCAATTGCCACTAATGTATTATTATGGGTTCACCACACCACGAACCCATATTGCTTTTTCTGATGTTTCTTCTCCTCCTTCTTCTCCTGCCATTTTTTAAATGGATTCAGCTTCTTCATTTTAGGGCCTAAGGTCCTGAAATTTGGTATGGAGGTACAGTGGGCAAATACCCCTAGGCGTTTTTTAAATTTTTGTGATACAGGCTTTTAGAATGGTTTTATTTGAGTTTTTTGGCTGTGTTATATCAAATGTATTACTGTGTTAGTGTGCCGTGTTTACCATGAGTCATCACAATGGAATGCAGGGCATCAACCAATAGGCATGCAGCTTTCCTCTATACTTCTTGCTGATTGGCTGTTGGGATTTAACTTGATTAACACCTGCACAGAGCATTTCCACCTGCACAGAGCATTTCTTGCTGATTGGCTGTTGGGATTTAACTTGATTAACATCTGCACAGAGCATTTCCATACTGACAGTATGTCTTTATTCAAGTGTTTTGGTACGTATTTCAAGCTTTTCTGCTCCAGCATTGGAATGCGGGGCATGAACGTTTTTTTATTTATTTTGAAAATCAACAGTTTGCATTATGCAATTAAAAATCCTAACCAATAAAGTAGGGAATAGCTATCCAACTGTTGTTTTAGTTGTATGTTACTTCATATTATAGTTGAAACTTTGAAACTTTGAAACTTTATTCATCAAAACAACATTGCAGGCTGAAACAGCCTGAATTGTGTTGCAAGTCACATGTACATCCATATTAACAATAACAATTGTAACATTTTAGCGTTAAAAGATTTAGTGTTAAAAGAAGTATCCGATAATGACGTATTGTATAAAATATCGATAACACATTAAAATATAGACAATAATTGAGTGGAACAACTTTAGGATACAAGTACAAGGAGGCAATAAAATTTTTTTAGAAAATTCTATAGTGTCCTTCAGATTTTAAAAAGTACTATAGTGTCCCTCACTGCTGCAAGATGTTGAGTGATCTGGGGATAAATGATTGTCTATGTCTCTCTGTACGGCTAAGTGGGATCTTGTAGCTGGAAGTCTGACGGCGTAGTTGGTAGGTTGTCCGTCTACCCGGCTCAAGGAACTGCTGGCAAGGGTGAGTGTCATCCGCCATCACCCTCCTGAGTTCACGTACGGATGCCTCACGTCTCCGCTCCTCCAGGGTCGGCAGTTGACCGGAAGGAATTCCAATGATTCTGCAGCAGATTTTCTGTACTTTCTCGAGCTCGTCAGCCAACCCGCGAGGTAACCCTCCCCACACTGGTGATCCGTATTCCAGCACTGGTCTGACAAATGTCTTGTAAATTTGTAACAGAACGTCTACTGGAAGCCCCGCTCGTTTGGACAGTCGCAAGTAGTGAAGGCGAGGTCGGACCTTGGACAACATGTATTCAACGTGTACACCCCACGACAGGTCGTTACTGACGATCACCCCTAGAAGTTTGAATGCAGAAACTCTCTCTATAGTCTCTCCGTTGAGCGTGAGTGGAGGGGGAATCACAGACTCCCTACGACAGCTAATAACCATGTCTTTGGTTTTTCCTACGTTTGCTGCCATACTGTAGGACTTAGCCCAAGTGTCGACTTCATTTATGGCTACTTGCATTTGACCTGGTAGTGATCCCATAAGAAGTTCCGAGTTGGTTAAGTCATCTGCGTACTTGACAGGTGTAACACTCTGTGGGATGTTGTTGTCAAGGCTGTTCATAGCTAGGACAAACAGAGATGGCGAGATGATTCCTCCCTGAGGTGTTCCAGCTAGCACTGGTCGAGGGGCAGAGATACGCGAATCCCACCGGACACGCTGCACACGGTCACTCAGGTAACTTCTCACGCAACTCCACAGGTCCCGTCTGATTCCCATTCTTGCCAGACTATGCAGAAGACTACCGTGGTCGATCGTGTCAAACGCGCGACTGAAGTCGACGAACGAGACATGTACATCCATTTTCGGCTTGCTGTTGAGCGCATCATGCCAGGTTTGCGTTAACTGTGTGAGAGCTGATACAGTCGATCTCCCTGGCCTGAAACCATGTTGGGAGTTATGGATCAGGTGATCAGTGTCCCTCTGTAGCAGCGTACGAACAAAGGATTCCAGCACTTTACCCAGACAGCTGGTAAGAGAGATCCGTCTGTATTCTTCAGGACCCTTTGGTTTAGATGTCTTAGGCACTGGAACAACCATCTCTGACTTCCACTGTAAAGGGAAGATACCCTGTTGTAAACAAGAGTTGTAGATACCGCAAAGTACAGGAGCAAGTTCCTCATGGAAAGTGGACAAGACCCAAGTCGGTATGTGGTCATCCCCGGTAGCTTTACGTGGGTTGACCTTCTTAAGCTGCAGTTTAACTTGTCCTATACTCAGCTCCGGTATTGTACCATCAGAAAGCTGATGCGAGACATCCGAAATCCCGGGTGTATTACGGGTTACACTTGACCAGACGGATGCGAAATGTTCACTGAGAGACTCACAGTCTATGCCCGGAGTCGGCACGCTGCCTCCTCTCTGCTTCGGAGTTCCCATCATGGACTTCACAAGACCGTACCACTTACGTGTGTCCCCGTGTTTTAGATGATCGACCTCTTTCAGATAGAAGGATTTTTTAGCTGTCTTCATGCATTGTTGTACCTTATTCCGGAGGCGTTTGTAGCCGGTTGTGTCCCCCGACATAAAGGCTTTCTGCCTCTCGAGTATCAGTCCTTTAATACGGGGCGTTATCCACTCCTTGTCCCTAGAGGTAACTTTCCCCTTTTTGTAGGGTAATAGTCTGTCAAGCAGTGGACGCAGAATCGAGTAGAACT